TCGCGAACGGCATAGAAGCATGCTAGTGTATATGGCCTGAGTTCGCTTCGAAGGAAACACGAGCGATGGGGCGCGTCTCGGAAATCCTGCAGGTTGTTTTGGTTGATCGGGTGGAGGGCCTCGCAATACCGACATACCCATCTGTCGGGAACGAAATTGGAGAGCCCAGCCCAAAATTTGAACCTCGCATTGGAGTGAGTAGCAGCCTTTACTGTTCTCACCTCTAGTGCTGTGATGCACGAGGGACAGGTCTTCGATCTAGTGCAATCTGCACAACCCCCGGGCTCGGGGAAAATTCCAAGCGCGCGGAGTTCTTTCTCCACACGCCCATGGGTCAGACGCCGGAGGGCTCCGCAAGTTTGACTGAGAAAATATGCTTCGTGCAGTTCTAGGTAGTCGGCGAGGTCGTATATCAGTTCAGGAGGAAGTTGAAGGAGCGGAAATTTGGATGCGTCAGGTCGCCTGCCCAAACCGAGTGTGGCTTTGACGAACGCCTTGATTTGAGCCCGGAGTTTCAACATCGTGTCTAACGGCTAACGAAGGAATTGGCGAGACACTAGGTCGGTGGGGAAAAATGATAATGAGGAAGACGTTCGAGTCAGCGGGGCTGAGGATTGGATTTCGATAGTTTTGTAGAATCCTTCTCAAGCTGTTCTCTCATATGAATTGATGTCGAACTCTCAAGGTATGTATATGGACAACCTCAATATGACACCTGGGCGTCCTGATGATTTAACCCTGATGGGCATACAAAGATCATATTTTGCACCCTCTATCTTGCAGCTGGGTGGATCGTCGAGCCATTCCACGACCGTTGCAAATACTCGGTAACTGAAACTTTGGCGGGACCCCATTTATGATATTGCCTGAACTGTATTCAATCTCTAGTGGAGAAAGAGTCAGCATAATTGGATATATTCTGAAGCATCTAGAAAGCTTCGTTTCGAGATGTTAAGAAGCGACAGAAAGACTAGTGACAGAGAAGAGGAGAAACCAAGATATAAAAGAACGACAAAGAACAAAAAACTAACTTGATAAGAGGTTTGCTATCCGGACGAATACTTCTAGCTAACCGGGTGGGTTATGTAGTAAATGTACACCGATGGGGATGATGCGGCGGCGACGACGACGACGACGACGACGACGACGACGACAATGACAACACTGATAACGATAAAAACGACGGTAACGATAGGGATGGAGAGAGGAATAGGGATAACGATAGTAGCAAAAGTTAATTGAGATAGAATAAAGTACTTGACCTAATAAAGGTAGTTACTTGTCCGCCCGGATAGCAAGACTCCTAATCATGGCGTGAACGCTAACAAGAAAGAAAGAATGGCAAGGATAGTACGATTGGTGGAAAAGATTAGTTTACTTTGTTTAATGAATATCTGCAACTTATCCGCGTTACTGAGGCAACTTGAATCTATTGTGAACTATAAAACATGCACGTAATTTGTTGACCCCGAGTGACCTAACCAAGGGCCGCAAGAAGCGACCTGTAGCCACCGTTGGCACTGACCGCGGCTCCATTAACCCACTTGCTCTCGTCGCTAGCAAGGAAACCGACAATGTATGCAACATCATCAGGGACTCCCATGCGGTATGCAGCTGAAGCACTCGCTTTCAGCTTTTCCTCGAACTCAGCAGGAAGCGCGCTCATCGTATTGACCAGCGCATCCGTAGCGGTCGGGCCCACGACGACTGTATTGAACGTAATGCCGGTGTCGATGGCGAAGGAACCCGCTAAGGACCTCGTGTAGCTATCGAGAGTCGCTTTACAGGCGCCATACGTGATGATTGGGTCGTTGTTCGCTTCCCTGGCGGCGACGCTGGAGATATTGATGACGCGACCGCCCATCTTCGGCCCGTGTTTCATGAACTCAACGATCGTTGCAATCGGGGAGTACACGTTGGCGATCATCGCCTTTGTGAAGTCTTCTGCGGTGGTTTCTCCCACAGGCTTGAAGTCTTGGAAAGATCCCCAGATGGCGTTGTTGACGAGGATGTCGATTTCAGAGACGCCGAGGGCGTTCATTGAGTCTGTAACGACTCTGGGCCACGCGGTTGGATCAAGGGCGTCGGCTTGTAGCGCGATTGCATTCTTGGTACCGTGAGCACGGCATTGCTCAAGAGTATCCTCAGCCGCGGCCTTGTTTGATGCGTAAGTGATGGCGATGTTGGCAAGCCCTTTACGAGCTAGGTAGATTGCAATAGCCTTCCCGATGCCCCTTGAGGCGCCGGTGATGAGGGCCGTCTTGCCGCTGAGGGACCAAGGCTGAATGGCGCTAGCGTTTTCAGATGAAGACATGATGAAATTTGAAAAGTGATCTGAAATTTGTAGAAAATATTTATTGTACTGTTGTGATTGGCAAGGTCCAGAATACAGATCGCGTAGCAGACGGTTCCGCACTTATAATCGCGGCAAGTCTCCGTGTAGATGCGGTACCGGGTAGCCGGACATCTCAACAGAACCGTGCAATTCATGATTTCCAAGCACTCCGACAAACTGAATCTAGGCATGGCAACTGAAACTGACTGCACCGTGTCGGCATTATTTACATCCCCGAACGACCGAAGTGCAGATACACATGCCGTTGAGACTGGTAGTCGAGCCCCACCTCCCTCCGCATCATGTCCGCCGGTTCTCCGCCCCATATCCGCAGATGCCCACATCAGCCCTCGACCGCTGTCAAACTTCGAATATGACACCATCTACGGGGATGATATGATAGTAGATCACATAAGCTCCAACTTAGCTTGCGTCCAGACAAAAACACCCGTGAATCTTGTTAATGTTCGGTGTCTTTACTTCCATTAGGCATCAGGTCAATAGAAGTGCGCAATTGACCTCACCCGGGGCTTCAACTTGGATACAAAGAGCAAATGAATCTCTTGAGCTCTTTCGGTACCTTTTTGCCAGCACTCCAGACTGTGAGCTTTTGACCTAAAAGGTCGTTGCCGTAAGCGTTGAGTGCATCGAACCTCACGACCTCTTTGTAGGTATCAGGACCAAGTCGCTGGTGTAGAGAGAGCCTTAAGCAGTGTCACAAGTCGTCAGTCGAACTCCAGAATAGTTAGAAGGGGTCTCACAAATGAAGAGTTTCAGGCTGAATGTGCTTGCGACAATCGGCGAGTAGGCGGTCTGCATCTTGATGTCGCAATGTTACTGTGGCATACCACATGCTGCCTAGCTCGCGATCTTGCCAGTGCGTTGTCCCTTCCCAGTATGAAGTTCCCCATCGTACAAGCTTTTGGTAACATACCCGTTGATCACCGTCCGCCCATGGAATGCCGCGCTGCACTTGTTGCGGGAAGTCCTTTAGATATATGTAAGCATACGCGGTAGGCTTGTCTGCATTCTTATGCTTGCTGGCCAGCCTCCATTTATAACCATCGGACCATGAAGATGGACCCTGTATTATATGACGTATCGTTTCATCTCTCTCAGCACCATCAGTTATCCGTACGAAGCGAGCTGGGCCGCTCGTAGGGTAATGATGGTACTCGATCGGCCTCGTTTCACGACGGGTGAGTCGGTTCTGTAACTTGGTAATTGACTTTCCTAGACCTTCAACCATTGTTTTGTGATCTGTCGAAGATTCCCCCTTGCCGAGTTTTCCGTCAAATGAGTCAAAATGCTTTGATATTCGAGAAACCGTAGTAGGGTGGGTTCGTACCCAGCTCCTCAGGCAGGGGCCTTTCGGATTTCCGATGGGATCCTCATCTTTTGAAGCGTGTGATTTGGGCAGATCTGATTTGCCACTGCTAGTGGGGGCCATCCTACTTCAGGTGTTGAAGGACGTGGTGGATTTAGTCGCGCGGTCCAAGACCTGTAGTCTCAAAATTGTCTCGCCTTTACTTTTGTGAGAATTCTACTCACGAAAGCTATATCTCTGGAAGGAACCTCTGATTATAAACCTTTGGGTGTACCGTCCCGAAGGAGACTTTGATGCTACGTATCACCTTGAGAGTTCTTGTGGCGTCGTCGTCTGACCGGAAAAGTGAGGCCTACACGTACACATCCATTGTGCCAGCCATAAAGCAGTCACATGGCATACCTTGAGCGTCTAGTATCAAACTTCCAAGTGTGGGAAAAGCACCGTTTGCAGTAATTCACGACCAACTTCGTGTCAGCTGGAACGCCTGACGGGTCCAGTGTTCAGTCATGATAATGCGGGAAGTGGGGCTGAATCTTGAGGACGTCTTCTGCTTAAGCATCCTTGGATGGAAAATTTAGGAGTTTTGCTATCCGGGCGAATGCGCTTAGATAACCGAGCAGATAACTACCTATATTAGTTCTGATAGTTTATTCATTCTAGTAACCTTTTTCCCTGTCATCTCTGTCGTCCCTGTTCCTACCCCTCTTCTACCTATCCCTGCCATTGTGATTAATAACGTATGTAGTCGTCGTCGTTGTCATCGTCCCTAACATTGTCTGAGGCATACCTACTACCCGCCCTGATACCTAGGAATATCCCTGGGATAGGAAAACTCACATTTAGAAGTTCTAAATGTTCAACGTCTAGGAGAGAGTTGAGTTGGACTGAGATGTTGTCTCGGTCAATGAATAGAAACGACCGCCATTACATTACGGGGCGGATTTCCATAACCTCCTTCACGGGCTTAATTGGGGTGGTAATTGATAGGCAACATCCATGGATAGAGATGTACACTAAGATGTTCTTTGTCGCAAACAGCTCCAAGCAAAGAATCGCGTCCATTATCATTAGGAGTCTCCCTACTCGCTAAGCCCTGTCTAATACTTTGTCACTGAAAGTGGCACCCCGGAGCTGCAGTCCGGGTTCGGCCCCACATCTACCGACCACCGGGCAAATAGTTCCTTGTTTTGGCGAGGGTGACGTCAGGGATATGACAGCGACTGCTTCCACAACAACCCATGAGTTCGTTTCCAGAAACTCTCGATGTCTCCTTCACCCGTGATCCAGCAAATACAATCTCCAGGCCAGCTGTCAAGCAGGACGTGCGATTGAACTATGAGTCAAAACACCACGAGCCCAATCGTCCAAAAGCGATGTTTATTATGGGACTGGACAAACACGCGCGACCGGCCAACCGCCATCAACCAACTCTTCAATGACTCCGGCGAAACACAGACTCCAGAAAATACATTGCCATTCAAGTCGGTGCATAACTGGAACGCATGGTACCCGCCGGAGTTGAAGGGTCGGCTCCCTTTGCGGCCCATGATTCGCACACGTGCGCAGATCGACACGGAAGAGTGGGATTGGATCCGTGACTCGGACGCGGAGATGGTGCATTACCTCAACGAACCAGAACGGCAAGGAATCTCGCCTGAAGACGCCGCTGACTGGTGGCTGAAGAAGGTTGTCCCGGAGTTGCGGGACAAACGTGGGAAGAAACTTGTCGGACCTGCTTGCGCGAGTGACGAGGCGGGAGACAAGTGGCTTGCCACGTTCATGGACCTCGTGGGAAATTCAGGCAACGGGAATCCAGACTTTCTTGGTGTCCACTACTACAGCGGTGATTTGGAACATGCAAAACGGTACATCACCTCTATGCACGAGAAGTACTGCCTCCCACTCAATGTTTCCGAGATCGCGTCCATTAGCCGCGACGGAAAAGAGGTTGAGAGGTTCACAGAGAAGCTGAGCGAATGGATGGATGCACAAGAATGGATCGATGAGTACGGCTGGTTCGGGTGCATGGCACACTGCGCCGACGATTTTGTCAGCCCAGCGGCGCAGTTGATGGATGATAAAGGCCAGTTTACGCCACTCATGAGGCTCCTGATGAAGACGTAATGGAAGTACTACAAATAATCGACGAGAAGATATGATTCCGAGGACACAAATATTGCCTATAATTTCCCATCGCATGATTCTGAAGGCTTGGCCAGGATTGAGAAATGCAGTCCTGGATAGTGACATCAACCTGCTCCGCCCTGACCGTGTCTTTGAAGTGAGTCTTGGCTGCCCTTTGTCGTTTAGTCTACCTGGAGAATCTCAACTCTGCGAACTTCGAAAATATACACGTGGAATCTGGAATTCCGGAAACATCGAGAGTCCGGGAAGCTATAACCTCCGGGTGGCTCCGTCGAAATACGTACTTCAAGTTAACGGGCGGGGGTTCCACTCGAGTCAGCCGCCTTCGACCCCAGATTCCATTTTATTACCCGATTAGGAAGTTCAAGAGCAAGCCGTGCATATGAGCGCCTGGTCCATGCTGCTGCCCTTAAACTCTTGCGTCCGCGGACCATCGAGGTTTGTGTGTTCTGGCAAGTTCTTCGCAACCGTCTCAAGTTCCATACCCTGCCACTCAAGCGTGTCTTTGACCATTCATATTCATTGCATCAAATCAAGCTCAATGTTTGCCGTTGACACCATGCATTTTGTTACGTACATTTCGCGTAACGATTTCCGCCAGACCACTGTTCTAGATGACCGCCTTACCAAGCCAACGGCCGCTACGCGCAAACCCGCAGACCCCGAAAGGTAAAGATTCGAGGATGGAATTACCTAGAGTCGCAAGAAGGAGTCTTGGTTGCCATTTTCGGATTGAATTGGACACGTTAATTCGTCCGATCCAAACTGCCCGCCAAGTCGTCATTTGTAGAGTTTGAGGCGGGCTTTTTCTAGGTTTGCCGCTGAACCAGTACAAATATTTTGCAATGGTCTTCTTCCAACCGCATCTATTCGACTTATGGTACGCCTTTAATAACCACTCATGGACTCACTACACCGGAAACGTCAAATTTTGTAACAATACGAACCGCCCTCTTCGCACATCCAGGCACCATGACTGGCACCAAGGAGAAAGGTCACGACTCCTTCCGGGTCAACTCTCCAGATGACTCCGAGAGCGAACATATCTCTGGACAAGCTAACAAGCCACTATCACGACCGCCTCATGCTCTAGATGTTGGCCAGGTTGTCACAGAGCTCGAAGTTGATGCCGCGCAGGGACTGACCACCGACGAGGCCTGTCGCCGGCTTGAGGAGCTCGGCCGCAACGAGCTTCGTCAGAACAAGGGTGTGCAACCGGTGAAGATCTTTCTGGAGCAAATTTTCAACGCAATGACTTTGGTAAGTTAGATATGTGTTCTTGGTATTCTCGAAGAAGCTTGCTTTCTGCTGCCCAAGGGGATGTGCAATTGCTCGGCTCGACTGACGCTTGATACCAGGTGCTTCTTCTGGCTCTTGGTGCAAGTTTCGGCATCCAAGCCTGGATTGAAGGTGGAATCTTAGGAGGCATAATCGTTCTCAACATCTTCATTGGTTTCGCCCAGACCCTTCAGGCCGAGAAGACGATCAATTCGCTCAAGAACCTCGGTTCCCCAATCTGCAAAGTGTTTCGCAACGGCAAGACTATCGAGATACAGACAGCCGAAGTTGTACCCGGCGACATCATCGACCTGATCACCGGAGACTCCGTCCCCGCAGACATACGCCTTGTCGAAGCTGTTAACCTCGAGGCCGACGAAGCCTTGCTTACCGGCGAGTCCGCGCCTGTCTCGAAAATCCCGAACTCGACTTTCGACGACGATACCGGCCCAGGTGATCGACTGAATGTGGTCTACAGTTCAACGGTGATCACGAAAGGTCGTGGCCGCGGCGTTGTATTTGCGACTGGCATGTGCACCGAGATTGGTCTTATTGCCGGTGCCCTGAACGGAGGCTCGAAAGCAAAGTCGTACCTGAAGCGCAGCGAGAACGGTAGAGTTTCCGTGTTTGCATATATCATGGCAGCGTGGATGATGACTCGCGATTGGGTCGGCGAGTTCTTGGGACTGACCATTGGCACACCCTTGCAGAAGAAGCTGTCGCAGCTGTTTCTGTGGCTTTTTGCATTCGCCATCATCTGTGCCATCGTTGTCATGGGCGCCAACAAATTTGATTCACGCAAGGATGTCATTATCTACGCTGTAACAACTGCCATCGGAACCATTCCTGTTTCGCTGCTGCTCGTATTGACAGTCACCATGGCTGCTGGTACAAAGAAGATGCTCGAGCGTCACGTTATTGTTCGGAACCTTTCCAGCCTGGAAGCACTAGGCGGAGTGACGAGTAAGTTTTTGACTGGAATCCAAAATCCTATTAGCAACATGTTGCTGATCGCAAGCACCTCAGACATTTGCTCCGACAAGACCGGCACGATCACGCAGGGACGCATGGTTGTCCGCAAGGCCTGGCTCCCTGGAGTTGGCACTTACTCCGTGCAGACGACGAACGATGTATACAACCCGTTCTCCGGCTCGGTTCAGTTCACCGCCGTCCAGCCGAGAGATATTAGCGCGGAAGCCGAAAAGCCACATGATGATACCTCCGATCCCATCGAGCCACACCACGAATCTGCAAGCAACCCGGCTCTCCAATGGTACCTCAACATTGCGTCGCTGGCGAACCTGGCCACTCTGAAGCAAAGCGACGACAGCTCTGCGAACCCGGGAGAATGGAAGGCGACTGGGGCACCCACAGAGATTGCTCTTGAGGTCTTTGCTTCTAGGTTCGGGTGGAATAGACTCCAGTTGACCCAAGGCTCTGAGGCCGCATGGAAGGAAATTGCAGAGTTTCCCTTTGACTCTGATGTCAAGAAGATGTCCGTGATTTTCCAGAATCTCGAGTCTCAGGAGATGCATCTCTTCACCAAGGTACGCTATCGAAAGACCTATGTCTTCTTGTAGTTGTTATTACTGACATACTGATTCCAGGGCGCCGTCGAACGTGTCCTTGAAACCTGCGACACCATCGCTCTCGGTACCGCTACTCGACCCCTGAACGAGGCAGACAAAGACAACATCCACGCCAACATGGAGACTCTCGCTGGCCAAGGCCTTCGTGTTCTCGCTCTGGCGCACCGAAACCTCGAGATCACCATGTCAGCAGCCCAATTTGCCGAGGGCAAGGTTGCCCCCAACCGCAACACTATCGAGCACAACCTGACCTTCCGCGGCCTCGTCGGCATCTACGATCCACCCCGTCCAGAGTCGAAGCCCAGTGTGAAGGCATGCCAAGGTGCCGGAATCGTCGTGCACATGCTCACCGGCGACCATCCGCAAACAGCAAGGGCTATCGCGACCGAAGTTGGCATCTTGCCGTCGCCTGAGAAGTTCAAGATGCTGCCGGCCGACGTCGCTCAAACGATGGTGATGCCTGCTCACGATTTTGATGCTTTGACGAATGATCAGATCGATGAGCTGCCTCAGCTCCCTCTAGTCGTGGCACGATGCGCACCTAGTACTAAGGTGAGGATGATCGAGGCGCTTCATCGTCGCGGCCGATACGTCGGTATGACTGGGGACGGCGTAAATGACAGCCCGAGCTTGAAACGCGCTGACATCGGTATTGCCATGGGATCTGGGTCGGACGTCGCCAAAGAATCTTCTGATATCGTCTTGACGGACGATAACTTTGCCTCGATTCTCAACGCCATCGAGGAGGGCAGGCGAATCTTTGACAACATTCAAAAGTTTATCCTCCACGTTCTAGCAGCCAACATCGGATTTGTATGCGCTTTGCTGACAGGGTTGGCCTTCAAAGATCAGTCTGGTGTTTCAGTCTTTCAACTATCTCCCGTGGAGATCCTGTGGATGCTTCTTGGAACTGGCGCATTCTGCGAAACCGGTCTTGGTTTCGAGAAAGCGGTGCCGGATATTCTCAATCGCCCTCCCCAAAATGTAAATTACCCATCATGAACTGACTCAAAGAATACTTAGCGCTGACGAGATCAACAGCTCAAATACGGCGTCTTCACCCCTGAATTTCTATTTGACATTCCTTTACGGCGTTCTCATGGCGGGCTGCGTTCTCGGCTCCTTCACAATTGTTGTGTTCGGGTTCAATGACGGCAACCTAGGCTTGGAGTGCAACAATGCCTTCTCAGAAGCCTGCGAGCCCGTATTCCGTGCTCGGGCTACATGCTATACGACGATGACTTGGATATTTTTGCTGTTTGCTTGGGAACTGATCGACTCGCGCCGGTCGCTTTTCTACATGCCTGAAGGCTTCAAGGCTTGGGGTCAACACTTGTGGGGCAACAAGTTCCTCTTCTTTTCAGTCACGATCGTCTTCTTCGTCGTGTTCCCGACGCTGTATATCCCTGTTTTGGATCATGTCGTTTTCATGCATCACGGCATCAGCTGGGAGTGGGCTGTGGTCTTCATCGACGTTTTTGTTTTCATGGTCGGTGCTGAGGCGTACAAGTGGGCCAAGCGGATATATGTCAGACGGAGAGGAAACCAGTCAGGTATCGTTGGATTCGGGGATGATGAGGAATCATCTCTATAGACTTGGTCGAAGTAGGTGGGAGGCGTGCAGTCAGACATGCATAGAGACAGAATAGTGTGCTAATGCATCCAGACTCGGTTCTGGAAGTTTTAACCCAATATCTATGTTGCTGGTTCAGTACCCGAGCTATCTTCGGCGCCTCTATCGTTCTACCAAGCCATGCGGTTTGATCTTCCATGTTCAGGTGGCCTTTCAAGGTCGATATCGCAATTGGAATGGATGCCTATGCACTCTGTCCTTCCCCTTCCCCGGGCTCATTTGACCGGTCCCCTGAGGGTTCGACTGTGTTACCCTCTACCCCCAATCCCTGCGCATCTTCATTTTTCAGCTGCTCTCTCGCGGCCATGAGTGCCTTGCCAAGGCGATTCTCTCCCCAATTTCTCTGATTCACCATCGCCTGATTCTCGTTGAACCCAATGCCCCAAACGCGGTCCTTGGGCGACGCCTCGGCAAGCACGCGATTACCAGTTTCCATTAGGATTTTCTTCAGCTGTGGGTTTTGCCCAAACTTGGCCACA